ATATATTTAACACTGAGCGTTGCGGTGGGAACATCTGAAGCTACTGAAAGCAGTTATATGATGATTAGTGATAGCACTGGGACAATTACTGGACAGTGGGAGCAGTTACATTCCTAGTAGCAGCATAGCTGTTTTCAATTGCAACATGTTTTTAATTATTATATTTTTGAGCAAATTTAAGTTTTTTTTCCCCATTTATATAAATTATTTGGCGCAGCGTGTCTTGTACTCGGCACTAAATTGGTGTCTACAGAGTTTCTACCAATTTCTCCAAATGGTATTAGTGAGCTTCTGGGTAATAACCAAAGGGGTTTTCACTAAAGTAAGAAATGAAAGCAAATGTCAAATTTAAGGTCAAAATCGCTGAATTGGAAGATTTAGTGATGTTTTCAGTTTGGATACTCTGGCAGTAACCTTCAGATTATCTTTGAATTCACTTTGATTTCATCACTTTATTGAATAACTCCGACTATGTTGCAATGTTCACAATGTTTTTCATGATACACATATCCTTCTTTGCACATTTGGAAATTACATGAAAATAGGGGACCTGACGTTTGTAGAATTCATATGCTGCATCAAGGTATGCAATTTGTGAATGCATGCAACCATTTGTTTATCACATATAAAATAAGCACGGTCTGCTTCCTTATATGTGATAAACAATTGGATGCATGGATTCACAAGTTGCATACCTTGATGTGCCCAGAACTTGTAAGGGAAGAAAAATGGTGGGAAATAAATGGGATAAAGAAGAAAAACACTTTAATACTAATGCTAATCGTGGAACGCATACAGAAATAAAATGATAGATTTTTAATATATTGCATTGTAGATAAAGATATAAGCATGCCAATAAATTATGTATATGCATTAGGTGGTGTGTTTGTTTTTTTAAATGGGAATGAAACACAGTGTCACATGATGAGAATTTATACACTAGTGTGTACCACGAAAGCTTTGGTTACATTTTAGCATAAATTGATACTAGTAAGTCACTCCATATTTTTCCATTATATAAATGATAAAAACGTATTTTATCTTGTGTGCTCATAAATATGTGGTCTAAATAAAGGAAATTATATTCCTTACTACTATGTTGTTGTGTCTACTCTGAACAGGGAAGCAGCCCAGAAAGATGACGGGGTTCTATGTATTGGGTGGACACGGTGGATGACCCACACTACCTGAGTGTAACACTATTGCCTTTAGGAAGCGACTCCAGTGGCTGTCTGGTAGATAGCCACTGGAGGCAGACTTAGTGCTGAAATGTAAACACTGAAGTTTCTCTGCTACAGCAGTGTTTTACATTGCAGCACTAAGTGCAAAAGGGACATTGCGCCCAGACCATTTCAATTAGCTGAAGTTGTCAGGGTGCCTATAGTGTCCCTTTAAAAGGGGTGATGGGGGTTAGAGTTAGGATGTTTACAGGATTCATTCAGTGCTGTATCAGATGTTTGGAATGGCCTACTCTGCTCAACTGGATGGAACGTTCATTTCCAGATCTTTATAAATCCCTAAAAGCCCACTGCTTTAGGAAAACTTAAAAACTTAACAGTGTACCTGTTCCACTTCACACAACTTGTTTTCCCACTATCTGCTCTCTTCCTATTACAGTGTTCCATCACTGTACTGTTCCTGTGTGCTACTAGTGAAGGGGCAGCTGGCTAAGGTTGTAAGTCAGTGGGTGCACTTCACCACAGATATATAGAGTACTCGTAGTGGCCAGCGTGCCTTCATCTCCTTGGCAGCCCACTAGTTGCAGTCCCCAGTGGCTGTTCAGGTTGGTGGCAATGCAGGAGATCCAGATACAGACTCTTGTTCACCAACATTATAAAAATGACAGAGGACTTCCAGGAAAAGAGGGAACTGGTTTATTGCAGCACACTCCGGACTGATGTAGCAATAATGGTCAGGAAGTGGATAGATCTGCTCAATGCTCGTCTGAACAGACAAGTTGCTCATTGCCCTGAACTGATGTTAGCTCTCCTGTGTGATCCTATGATTAACCCTTTAACACTGTTACGGCGTTCTATGCCGTCCCCATTATAATGGGCTTTAAAGTCGTTGCGGCGGCATAGAACGCCGTAACGGCTTAAGCCCCCAGGAGCTCCGGTGGACTTACCTCTGCCGCAATCCTCTTTGGGAGGACTGCCTGATAGCTCAGGAAACCCTCCCCCCGCAAATCAGAGTAGTGTATTTTAATATTAATATAAGTATATATATATATTAGTATTAAAATACACTTAGAATGAAGTTAAAATTTGATTGACATGCCCGACAACCCAGGCAGAAAGTGCAGTGAATTTAATTCGCAAGCACTATATTTAACCCTGTAACTTTCCAAGACACCATAAAGCCTGTACATGGAGGGTACTCTTTTACTCGGGAGACTTTGTTGAACACAAATATTAGTGTTTCAAAATGGTAAATTGTATTACAACTATGATATTTTTAGTAAAAGTAATTTTTTTTGCATTTCCCCCACATGAACGGCACTTTTACTGATGATATTGTTGTAATACATTTTACTGCTTTGAAACACTCATGTTTTTGTTTAGTGAAGTCTCCCAAGTATAACAGTACCCCCCATGTACAGGTTTTATGGTGTTTTGGAAAGTTAGAGAGCGAAATATAAGGCTTGTATTTAGTTTTTTTCACATTGAAATTTGCCAGTTTGGGAATGCTGCCTTTGAGACCGTATGGTAGCCCAGGAATGAGAATTATCCCAATGATGGCATACCATTTGCAAAAGTAGGGAACCCAAGGTATTGCAGGTGGGGTATGTCCAGTCTTTTTTTAGTAGACACTTAGTCACAAACAGTGGCCAAATATTTGTTTTTTGCTTTTTCACACAAAAACAAATATGAACGCTAACTTTGGCCAGTGTTTGTGACTTCTTCAAAATTTGTAAAGGTATTATTTAAAATCTTGCAGTGAATAAAAACAAAAAACAACTAAATTTTCCTAATGCTGCTGCTGTTTGCCTTTTTTTCAAATACCTTTTATTGTAGTGGTTTTGTCCTGCCTGGCTAACTCTTTGGGTTCCTGCTCCCTCCACAGACACCGAAGGGAGAAGCTGATAGGGCACTGTGTTTTTGCACACCAAAGGAAGGTCACGCAATAGACTGGGTGTATGAGAAAGCTTTGTTCTTGTTAGGGTGTCACTCACTTTCTCCTTTCATTTTTGTATAGATCCCCTATTTTGAAATTAAAATGACTCCTGCTCCCCATTTTTTACAATACAAAATAGCAAAAGGAAAAAAAAAAAAGAGTATAAACAGTCATTATAAAAGTAACTTCCATCACTTCTTACATTTGTCATTTTACTTTTTTTAATCCAGATATATAATAAGATAATCTAATTTTGTCAACTCAAAATTGGCATTGCAAGAAGTGGCTGATCAAGCTACTAGACCAGGTAATACTGTAGCCATTTTTGCATGCCAGTACAGTCATAGGCACCATTTTTCCTGCTGGTCGGAATGGGCTTCCTGATTTTTTTCTGGTACCGAAATCCGTATGAGCTGAACAATGACATGAACAAAATTCTGAGGACCTGAAAACAAAATGCCAGTGTTTCACAAAAACCAAAACATTTCACCCGACACAAATTTAGTTTACAGTCACTAATCTCTTCTAGCCAGATAGGGGTCAGTAATCTGGTGTAATAAACCAATATTACTCCTTTTAGAATTTTGGACTTTTATAAAAGATATATTCTACACATTAGTATTGGTTCATAACAACAGCCCTTTACTAATCATTTTCCTTGTGTCGCTTGTAAAAAGTATATGATTTGTCCTAAAAAAAGTCATAAAATGACAATTAAGTTTTGGAATTTATGCAATAAATTGTAATGCAGCATTGTACTATATATTTTCTATATGTCCTCCGTAATAGGTGTGATTATTGGTGGTTACTTTATGACCATGCCACCACCAGAGCCGTCATCTGGGGAGCACAGTCAGCACAGCATGGTGCCCTTTAGAGATATGCAGTGTAGGGGATGGGTCAGCAGTGGATTTGTAAGGAGCCCAAAAATTTAATGTCAGCCCTGACTAACCATTTGTATTTGGGTATTTATAAAAAACACACCTTAAAGCTGGTGTGCCCATAAGGTAGATCCCCTTATGTCGGTGAACTACAACTCCCATAATGCTTTAAATGTCTTTAGAATGAGAACGCATCATAGAAGCTGTGCTTTTAAAACATCTGGGGATCTACCTTTTGGGCACCTCTGTCTTAAAAGGTGGCAATGGTTTTCAAAACAGTAACGGCCTATATGACAGTAAGGGCGACCACAGTAAAAGAGTTGGCCAATGTCATCCACTAAAATGCTAATCTGGGCAAATATTCTCCTGCTCAGACATAATTAAAATAGGTCGCATTACCTCCATTTAAATGAAATTCTCGCAAATTTGCTGAGGAAAATGTTTGGGAATTCAAACAGGGTGAGTAACTAAAGTGAGAATTCATGGGGAATTTCAAAGTGGAGTTTAAAATCCCCCAAACTGGAAACATTCTCTAAGTCACCTGCAGGTTTCCATTCAGACAACCTGACATTAAATCTAATAATTCGCTTGGAATTCTCACCTTAGTAAATAGCCCTGAGAGGGAGTTTCAAGCTGAAGGCAAAAACAGCCAAACCAGAAAATGTCCCCAAACTCACTTTCGGCTACTTTGGCCTTAAAGCTGAGCTGTACCTGGAACAGCAGTGAGTAACTCCTGTGTGTGTCCAGGTATTCAGACTGCAGCCCCAGCCCAGGTTCACACGGTGAGCCGCACAGCGGCCGCCCGGCACCCAGCGCCGCCAGCAACGCCCCCGCCCGGCCGCAGGCTGTCACCGCCCGAGCCAGCAACTTTCCCACGGCCCGCGCGTGCTAACAGGCGGCCCTGCAGACTCCAGCCTGGCACCGCGCCTGGCCAATCAGCGTGCCCGCAGGACGAGCTGGGCGGGGCCAACCAACACGCCCGCCTGTCACTCAGTCAGTCAGGGAGAAATCCGTCTTGGGCCAACGTTCCACATAGAATGGAGAAGGAAGAGAGCGTTCCAAGGCGGCTTTGTCCACTGCGACGTCACGGAGGGGCGGAGGCGGCGGGGAGCATTGAGAAGCATTATAATTGTGTTCCAGGAGCAGGCGCCAGTCATCCAGCCCCCCCCTTTTTCTCCCACACAGTGGAAGAGGCGAAGCGTGGGAAAGGGATGGCTAGGTCTTAACCACAGGGACAGCCGGAGGAGGGAGCACTGTGTCACCAGCAAGTCAGGAATACACAGCAACTTGGCTCTAGGGATCCACAATCCCCGAATAGCCGGCCACTCACTGGGAGGACAACCATGAAGAGGACTCACGAATACAGCTCTTCTGACAGCGAACTGGATGAGAATATTGAGGTGGAGAAAGAGAGCGCAGATGAGAATGGGTAAGAAAACATCCTTTAAATGGACATTATGGGACTGTTAAATAAAACACAATATCATATCATACCCTCTTATAGGAAGGAGCATTGGTCACCAAATATTAGCATCTCGCAGATTAGCAGAGCTGATAAAGCAATCACAATATTATAAGTTTCTGAACTGTTATTATAAATAAAAATAAAATATGATCTAAATAAATCCACACTTTTGTGATTTTTGCTTCTGGTTTGGTAAACTAGGACTGATTGTGGGACTATCCCAATCCTCTGTGTGTAGTCTTTGCAAAATTTATTACATTTCAAAATGTTTTACCAGAAAGAAAACAGATTTTTTTTTTTTTAAATTATTATTTTTTTTTTTTTAAACTACGCCCTGTGTACTGATAGTGTCATCAGCTGATTCCCTCACACTCCTATAAAGTTTCTATTGTTCATTTATTATTTATTTACGGTATTTTTTATTTTTATTTTTTTTTAGCAACCTGAGTTCAGCTCCTGGCTCAATGTCTCCATCCACTTCTTCTCAAATCTTGGCAAGAAAGAGGCGCAGAGGGGTGAGTATTGCATACCTGCATTTACTGTCAGCAGAAAAGCCTCAGTCACTTGTCACTATACCTAAATCCTCTACTTCTCTCTTTTTAGATTATTGAGAAGCGACGTCGGGACAGAATTAATAATAGCTTGTCTGAGCTAAGGAGACTGGTTCCAAGTGCTTTTGAAAAACAGGTAATTAATGATTAGGGTACATTTCTAAATGTAAAATTTTTTGATAAAATTTAGCAAAACTTTAATAATTTGCTTATAACATGATCTCACAAAGGATATACTAAAGAATTGGCATTTAAAGGCACATATTTTAGTTCTAGTGTATACTGCTACTGTGTCAATTCAGATTTATTCTAATTTATTATTAATATTTATTTAAAACATCCGACTGCCAGTGATTGATACAAAAATTGATCTGTTGGTATGACTTTTTGTTTGGCTGTTAAAGTGGATTTCTCTGACTATGAAAAATTCAGGTATTTATTGGTGTGTTAAATGTGGATTTAATGTTTGCAGGGATCAGCAAAATTAGAAAAAGCAGAGATATTGCAGATGACTGTCGATCACCTGAAGATGCTGCACACAGCAGGAGGGAAAGGTAATAAATTATACACTGTGAGGTTCTGCAATACATACAAATATTTTATGTTTCTGCACAAAGATTCGCAGTTTGTCTAAACAACAATTTTTGGGCAATATTCTAAAAGTGCACCAACCATCAGGAACGTTGCATTCATTGCTATGGGGACTGCTTTAGTTTCAGTATTTTACCCAGCATTAGTTTATGATCATATCCCCTCTATATGCCTCACATCACAAAATATTCCTATTATTTTTATATTATCAATATTTGATTAACACACAGTTGATGAGGCAGATATCTGGTGTAAAGTGATTTATACCTATCTTTATTTCTAAAATATGAATTGCAAATACATTAATGATTGCTTTATCCTCTTTATTAATGTATTTTTATCAGAGAGGATTTTGACAAGATCCAGTATCTGCACTGCTTCTGCTACGATACACATCCTGTGCTGATTTGTGCTGGGAGAATCCTTATTCCCCCATTGTCAGCTGTCAAAGCAGTTGTCATTTTCTGACTGAGAGAAGCGTTAGGACTTTGAATAGTATAAAATCTATGGCTGTATTAGACCCTTTCATTCCCTTAAGGTTTCTGCTATGTTAAACTCTTTACCTTCATTATCCTTTTGCCACGTCTTTTTGAATTTTCACTCTATTTATAATTTACACTTTAATTTTTTTGCTTGTATTTTTCTGGGATGCAGTTTCATGTATCCACTACTCTTGTAGCAATGCATCTTACATCTCTATAATGCTAAAGCTACAACTATTGCAAAGAAAAGCATTGCGGTGAGGTTTTCAACAATTTCTGCTAGCTGGATTTTAGTTCACCATTAATTATAGATCACTTAAGCAAAGTCACTTTATTTGATTTTCACATATGAAATCAGCACATGTAACAAATCACTTTATTATAATCAGGATGCAGACCAGAGGAGAGGTTCAACTATATGAGCTGTAGAACCAAGGTGACTACATAGTAATCAATCTGTGTGCTAGAACTGTTGTGTTCTCCAGGATTGCAGCCTCTGTCTCTATTCCTTATTTGAAAACCCATGTTTTGTGATGATTACTGCTCACTGTAAATACTGGATACAGTTTAACTACAGAGCATTTCATAGCAAACTATGAAAAATAAAAAATATATTTTCATTTGGTTTAAAAAGCTAAGTAAATGAATATGTGAAATCCAATAACTCTGGGCTTTGGAGGTTTTGCATAAGGCATCTTTTTGTGAATATGTTGTAATTATGTATGGATAATGTTTGACATTGCATCTTATATTTTCATTTTCCACCCATTAAAGGTTATTTTGATGCCCATGCTCTTGCAATGGACTATCGGAGCTTGGGTTTCAGAGAATGTCTAGCTGAGGTTGCCCGGTATCTAAGCATCATTGAAGGTCTGGACACAGCTGATCCTCTGCGAGTTCGACTTGTTTCACATCTCAACAACTACGCCTCCCAGAGAGAAGCTGCAAACTCTGCGCATACAGCCATCGGACACATTCCCTGGGGTGGTGCATTTGGTCACCATCCTCATCTGTCTCACCCATTGCTGCTGGCACAGACTTCTCATAGCAGTACAAACAGTACTCCCTCTTCTTCAGAACCTCATCACCAGAGCAGACTTCCTGGCTCACCGCACGCTGAATCTTCCACGCTCCGGGTTCCCCCTAATGGGAATATTGCGTCAGTGCTTCCAGTAGTTACTTCCTCAAAACTGTCGCCCCCACTGCTGTCTTCAATTTCATCACTTTCAGCATTTCCCTTTTCTTTTGGATCATTTCATTTATTGTCACCTAATGCATTGAGCCCATCAGCGCCTACACCATCAGGCAAGCCTTACAGACCCTGGGGCACAGAGATTGGGGCATTTTAGGACACCAGTGATGAGAACTGTTTAGTTGCTACGGGGTTTACAAATCCAGCTGTGCTGGATTTTAATCTCTGACATTTATCATGTACTTGCCAACCTGTGTGGTACAATGGTACAAATACATGTGACTTTTACTTTTTTTTTTTTTTTTTTAATATATATTTAACATTTTTTAAAAAAAAAATTAAAAAAAATTAGCAACAAGAAAAATATGGTACACCGTACATTGCATTAGTGGTGTAACTGAAATTCAAATAGGTCTTTACTGATTATTTAACTTGCTTTGTAAAAATTATATCACTTTATCTCACAACATTGGAGTTTTTTAACAAATAGTTTTGTTTTGTGTTTTTTTTTGTGTCTATTTTCTTCTTTCGTAAACATTCTCTTATTTTTAATTTGCTGAATGATCATTTCTGCAAGAATTTTCATACTTTCTGTTTTGCTAATATTTTAAGAGTTAAAATGTTCTATAAGAAATATCTTTATATAAACCTATTTTTGTGTGCAGGTTTTTTATATTTCAAAGCGTTGACAAATCAGATTATTCAGCTTTATCCAAGAAAAGAGAACGGTTTTCATTGTAATGATTACATATGCTGAGTGCAGTCAAAGTTGAATGATAGGTGTATACAAGATACATCTATATTGCACATTAATCTGAAATATAAAACATTTCAACAAAATTCCTATTGTCTAATGTATTTTCTTACCTGGGGCTCTAGAACACTTATTTAACAATTAGATTTATTTAATATAACACACATCTACATGGGTGTATATAATTCTCTGTACATGAATTCGTTATGAAATAAAAGGTGGTTTCTACTGTACTGGAATAATTACTGTTGTACTGGTCTGATGTGACAAAATAAAAGAGTCAGAATTCTTTTTTCCACCTGATGTATCATCTTTTTAAATTTTAATATATTTTATTAATGGGACAATCTGTGCATTTACTAAAGGCTTTTTTAATCAACATTTCACAATGTTAGAAAAAAGAAAATCATGTTTTAACTTGACATAGTTTACCTCCTAAGAGAAGTCCTCTTCAGCTGTCAAGATAACTATTATTCTTGCCAACCTGTTGGCCTTTGATTGCAGTCCTCAAATTTAAATTTTTTTATATATATATATATATATATATATATATATATATATATATATATATATATATATATATATATATATATATATATATATATATATAAAAAAAAAGAGTGGATTGGTTTGGAATGAAGGGATTTATAGTTCACATAACAACGAAGTCTAAATTTTAGATAGGTCTAGGCTGCAGTAGCCCTTCTTTTGTTGTCAGACTCAAAGTCCTATCATCCGCTGGATCTTCATGGAGGAAGCTTACAGAGTTTTTGGTACAATAACAACCTCAATATACACAAACAGGCATTTGTATTGCACAGAGGCATGTTAGTATCATAAGAGTTAAACTAGCTCATGCTAGTATACATAACCTAGTACCTTGCTCTAGGTTACTAGTGAGTAATTGAATTTGTTTGTAGAAATAAATAACATTTTATATATCTCTTGAAATTAACCATTGTCGCAGTAACACACACTATTTCTATGTGCATTAGTCTGATTTTTTTTTTTTTTATTGCTGATATGTGCAAAAAATATTAGTCTAAACAAGTACATTTTTATTTTAACAGAAGAACTTCTAAACGGTGCCCAGGGGATCAATTGTCTGGAGTACTAGCTAGCATCTAAGTTCCAGTTCCCCTAGTGTCCGACTGACACGAAGGTAGTGTAAACGAGGTTAGGGAGAGAGAAGAGGCACAGGGTCCCCAGAGAACAAGGGACCGGGTAATCAGGTCTAAACGCAGATGCAAAGCCTCACAAAAAAATTAATAATTAAATCTCTCAATTCACCCTAAAAGTTACCTCAACACCGTGGTCTAACCACTAGTGTCTTCCTGAACCAACTCTCCCTGCTGAAGTCTAAAGGCTCCTGACGACGGCGTTTTGAACACGCTGAAACGCGCATCGAGCGTGTTCTTTTTCTTTAATCTCTGCACTTGGTAGCACTTTTTTATTTTTGTTACCACTATGGTTATTGATTTTTAGGTGTTTATTTCTTTATAACTTTAGTAGGGAGAGTTGGTTCAGGTAGACACTAGTGGTTAGACCACGGTGTCGAGGTAACTTTTAGGGTGAATTAAGAGATTTATTTAATTATTTATTTTTTGTGTGAGGCTTTTCATCTGCGTTTAGACCTGATTACCCGGTCCCTTGTTCTCTGGGGATCCTGTGCCTCTTCTCCCTCCCTAACCTTGTTTACACTACCTTCCTGTCAGTCGGACACTAGGGGAACTGGAACTTAGATGCTAGCTAGTACTCCAGACAATTGATCCCCTGGGCACCGTTTAGTACATCTCCCTTTTTTTCAAGTTATACTTTTTGTTTGCATATCCCTTTTAATCCTTAGATTGATTAAAGGTAGGGCCTCCCTTCCTCATTTCTTATACAGTGGAGCTCTCTTGATGTTGGTTTCCCCCTGTGGGACTCTACACATCACCTACTCCTATTACCAACATATTTTGGAGGGTAACCCCCTCATTGGAGCTCCCTATTAGGTTGTTACAGTGGTGCAGCTTATGAGCCCTTGACTTGTATCCAGACTCCTGACCTGCACTCTGTTTACTTTATTTCTCCATTTTGATTTTTATTTTAACATAAGCAATCGGTTTGCACAAATTTAACAAGGATTCATATTATGTCCATTCTTTAAATCACCATCTGTTTTTAGGTAAACGTTATACGTGTTAGGAGAATGGCAGAGAATAAACTGTCAGGATAACTAACCAGTCAGACGCTTAGTGGTCCGTGCTGAAATCCAGTCTCAGAATATTGGTGTCCTCGTGTTACTTGAAACTTTCACTTATTCAGGGTGGATTCACTAAATGGTGACTTGTGATGAGTTGACAAGCTAATTATAAAAATGTGTCAAAATAGGAGACAAATTCTCCAACTCACACATGGAATTCAGGGAATCTTCAAATAAGCTATTTTGGCCTAAATTGTAGAGTTTGGTATCCACATCTACCTGTTTGGCATTGAGTAAACTCTATTGGGCTTATCAACGAACCTCTTTGTGTCACAGTCATATCTGGAGTACCAGGTAGTGGTAAGTAGGCAAAAAACTGAATGTGTATTTCATGGCTGTCCCTAGTATACTATGAAGTGAATGCTGCAGTCAGCATCCTTTCTCTAAACAGCCATATACATGGTGTTTAAGCATTAAAGCATTCATTTTCATGGCATGACCCCAGACCTGTAGCTTAGTGGGTACTTTTAGGGCATGGACCAGCTTTGAGAGACAACCAGGTAAACCTGGACCTTTGACTCTTGATATTGTTGCAGCTCTGAGTTTGGCTGACTGGGTTATAAGGACCGTGCAGACAGGCTTCACAAATACAGACAAGGTGCAAACCTCAAAGGAAATAAGTGGGTTGGAGGAACACACTGAGTTGAAGGGACAGACAAAGCAGGGATTCAGGGACACAGACAGCCCAGTTCAGGCAGAATGAGGGCAGCTAAGTTCATACTAAGAATTGGTCATGATCACTCAACTGTGTAATATATTTATATGTATATAAAAAAGATCCCTACACATAGCGATTACTCAGGAAATGTATCAGAGGTATGCCCAGGGGACCATCATTTTTGGAAGGCAGCAAATAAACAGAATGGAACCTTGAGATATCTTAAATGCCACAGGGGCCTAGAGGGAGAGGAGGATAAAAAGTACTGGCATGGAGGTAAGGGGATTGAGATTGCAATTCCTCCATGTCAATACCTTTTATCCTTCCTTCCCTCTAGGTAAGGCTACCCAGGGCTAAATATCTCATGTTTGTCAGTCTCTTTAACCTCCATCAATGCCTTTCTAATGTTAACTTTACAGAAGTGTTCTCACTTACCTACATGCCAATCCCCCTCTACATACATTTTGCCTGTGCTCTGGTCACCCTCTCCCTTCCTTACACCAATTCTTTCTCTATCCTCCCTTCTCTTCATGCCAGAGCTCCTACCTTTATTCTAGCCCCCTCCATGCCTGCTTCTTAATATACGGTACATTTAAGTCATTCATGTTTATTGCTATTGCCTCCAATTTGTCAGTTATCCCCCTGCAATATCACCTATTCTATTTAAAGTCACTCAATCATGTTTAATCAGGACCTCATTTGACCCACACTTTATGCTTCCGTTCTTTAATGCCAGTCTACCTATAGCTACCCATCCTTTTATGCCAGTCCTCATTCTAACTCCGTTCTATACGGCCCCTGTCTAGTCTCTATCAGCCCCTGTCTAGTCTCCATTTTCTTATGATAGATAAATAGATAAATAGATAGATCTTTCTTTTTATGTCAATTTTACATTTGTTAGAAGATACTTTAAATACACATACAACCATTCTACAAATGAGTGTTGTCCAGTTATTCTGTATAAAAAAAATAGAAACAAAACATAATATGATAGAAAATGCAAAATAAGGCCAAGGACCTCTCTTATACCCATCAGCCACTGGGACATCTACCGCCACATAAACAATACAAAAACAAAACAAAAAAACACATCCCTGCAATTCATGAGAAAGTGTACTTTGTAGGAAAACTGCCACAAGCAAAATTCAACTGACATCAAACTAAGGCATGCCCTGTAACAAATACTCCGTGAATACAAAAGGTCAATTCTTGAGTGTCCAAGTAACAAAACTCCCGAAGAGGATAGCAGTGTCACTGATACAGATCGGAAATCGCAGGTAAACTAGAGAGTAAAACAGAAGAGGATATAGGCAAGGACTGTGAATCAGATTCCAGTGTACTGGCCCTGAAGCATAGTCAACAGAGAACAAAAAGATCAACAATAGTGCAGCAGGTTCGACAACATGCAGGGGATTTAACAAAAAGTCGGGGATTAGTGGGGGAAAGTTCTGTCAGGTAGCACACATCTTCTGTATAGTTAGTGCCTTAGCAATAAGAAACCTTTGTAAATCGCAGAACTCCTGTATTAGATAAAGCCACGTGACAGAGAGTCCTTAGCATTCATGGTAATAGACACTCAAACACCTAGGTACTCATAGCTCTCTTATCGATTCCCTATGGTACAGTAATAATATAATGAGCAAACTGGTCAGTCAGTAAGATATGGAAATAGTCCTCTACTCTGAGCTGCTCCGGAGGTAGAGTAGCAGTACGAAGCCTTTAAATGTACCCGTCATCATGAAGATAATCTCATGGACATTTGAGATTGGGTTTCAAAAGGAAAAACCAGCTACTTCAAGTAATCACAGAGCTAGTGAAGACAGGAGACGACTACCGAGCGGCCACTCTGTTCTGAGTGGAGAGAGATGTCTGGCATTTAAGCCACCTATGTAGCTACAACTTGGAAGGAGCAAGCCATCTGGTGAACCAACTAAACAATAAGCTACAGGAAGCTTCTCATCCTTCTTTTACTCACTGGGCCATTTACTGGGCCATTTTTGTTGATGTTTAAAGCTTGAGTAAATGTTGACACAATGACAATGACACAATGACAATGACCTGTGATTGTTAATGCATTCATAGATTAGAGGGAGTGGGAGTGTGAATGCATAGATTGTCTACGTGTGTGAGTGCTTGTGCATGCATGGAATAAAAGGAGTGTGAATGTGAGTGCATGTGCAAATATTGCCTAGATCAGGGGTGCCCGCAAGGTAGATCCCCAGATGTTGTAGAACTGCAGCTTTTATGGTGCTTTGTCATTCTAAAGCATTCTAAAGGCATGCAAAGCGTCATGGGAGCTGCAGTTTTACAACATCTGGGGATCTACATTTTGGCACCTATGGTCTAGATAAGGGATAGGCAACCTTCGGCACTCCAGATGTTTTGGACTACATCTCCCATAATGCTCTTACACCCATAATGCTGGCAAAGAATCATGGGAGGTGTAGTCCAAAACATCTGGAGTGCTGAAGGTTGCCTATGCCTGGTCTAGATGGAGTGTGAGTGCTTGCCCTGCCTGTGAATGAATGGATTAGAGTGACTGTGAGTGCATATATTGTCTAGATGGAGTGTGAGTGCCTGTGTGCACATTGATCAGTATGAGTGCCTCTGCCAAGGATGATTAGATAAAGTACTAGTACCCGTATAATATATAATTGTGGGTTAAACTGGGAGGACACATAGTGAAAACAGCTTTTTTCTTATTGCAGTGATTTTGTCATCTTCTCATCTTTGTAATTCTTGCCGAGCAGCACTTTGTTTTCTGTTTCCTGTCTCTCCTGTCGTCTAGAATTTGGCGTTGCATAAGTGGGTGGTTAAGTCAATAATACTGAAATATTAACTTGCTCAAGAGATTTCCGTTACTCTCTATTAAGCAATGATTTTGTAAAGGCAATTATTAGAAATTTTCTCTGTACACGATGTGCAAGTAAATAATCAGCCCTTGAAGGTAGTGTAAAAGAACAGTCTCCCTGTGGCCACTTGCTTACAAATACAATTGGTCTGGCGGCATTACATTTTCTTAGATTTTGTTAACATGGTCTATGGCGAAATTAATCCTTATCCTTAACAGTAATGCAGCATGGGGTTACCATAGGGATGGGCGGATAACAGGGACTGGCAGGGAAAAGGTTACCAGAGTGATGGGCGGATAACAGGGACTGGCAGGGAAGGGATTACCAGATGGATTGGCGGATAATGGAGACTGGTAGGGAAGGGTCTTCCAGCAGGATGGGTGGATAACAGGGAAGGGGTTAACAGTGGGTAGGGAGGTTGATTAACAAGGTAAGTAAAACAAACGATAGATAAACTGCACCTGGGAGAATATTAACAATGTCGTTTTTTTTTCTGTGTACATTTTCATAGATCTTCATACAATATATAGTTCTTTGATATAAAGATATATTCTCTGTAGCAAAACATGCAACAAACTAACACTCCAGTTATGACTGAGTATGTACCACAAGAATCAATGATATCATAATGTTTGTCAGTAATTCAGATACGATTGCTTCATTTCAGCTTTCACTTCAATGAACGAAGAATACGTTGGGCATTTGACTAAAATAATGAATGTGGTTTATGTTCTACAAGAACTTTCCTAGGAAAGAGTACAAAACAAAGGACTTGACACCGAGTACGTAATTTCTCCATTCACTCCAGGTTAATTATAGTGTAAACAAATAAGGCGTATTTTTGTCACTTAAACAAGTGAGAAATAGGTAATGCTAGTGTGGGTGCTCTTTAAGTTCTGTTTGTTGAAACCAAGGAAGCGTGCTAAGACGGCAGCCCTATAATTCTCTTACTTATAATGGGTTACCAGGCATTCTATTCACTTATTCTTTGACAAGATTCTGTCAATGGATAATAAAGGTGGGCATACCATAATATATCTTGGATTCCAAACCACAGCCAGTTATATAGATTGAATGTTTTGACATAGATAAATTGTTAATGGCCAATGGCCGATTAGCACATTATTTGACTTAGCATAAGATATAGCAATTATTAATCAGTAACTCCTTAACACATAGTGAGATCTGAGGGTGGAAAGTAAACTAGTTTATTCACATGAGATATGTAAGCCATATATACGTAGCTTATAAAGCTACATAGTTACATAGTAATCTAGGTGGAAAAATTCCATACAGTTCAACCTTTAAAGCACATATTTTTATCCTGTCGATCCAAAATAAGGGATTGCCAATTATGCTACAAAATGTTTATTTTACAATCTGATCCTTTCTATGGACTGGATAGCTTTTGTGAAGCTAGACAGAAATAAATTAAGAATTATTGTTTTTAGAAATATTAAAAAGAGTGCAAGTTAGGAAAAGGATTCTATTTTACCCCAAAGACCCCTCACTGTTTTTCTCACTATGGTTAGTAATATTGCGTAAGTCAGGCTATGAGCTCTAATTGCATTGTTAATCTGCTTGGTTTCATATCATAGGTCAATGAAAAGAAAGTGCCTGTAGTATTGTTTACAATACTTATGATAATATTCATTATATAGGCAATGAGCAATCATTTTATTTTTCTCATCATTTGCTTATAGCTAACCCCTACTTGAATTGTAGCTCTTGCATTCGGAACCCATGCGTTTCACTCTGATAATTTACTTCTCACGCTTACTCTACTCTTACTCTTACAGATCAGGGTGTGTGCCAAAATACTTTCTTGAAAACTGTATGCGAAGCTTGAGTTTTGATACAAATCTCTGAGCCTAAATTGGTGGTGGTGAGTGCATGCTGAACAAAGTAGTTAAAATCAGTTTTTAGAGCAATTCCGTTATGAAAAATAATTCATATAGGAGACATTGTAAACATGCCTAGTTTTTACTGTCCTCCAAACAACTAAATATGCATTGTTCAACTATTGGTTGCAGCTTCATCAGGGACAACGTTAAATGTTTGAGGGTGGACTCAATATCTACAATAATTTTTTTTTTGTTTACAAACACATTTAAAGTATTGCAAAAAAAATATTAAAAGTGTATACTGTAATATTATACTTACACATACATATATTATACCTATACATACATTCCAAGTATTTCTTGTTTCCTAATGATGCAGCACAAATAGCGTAATAACATAAAATCATATTCCCCAACAAATTCTCAGTATGGATAAATTGACAAAACATCCAAATCACTGACAATGAATAACATTGATTATATTGTTGATATTTTAGTCAGCAAGTGAACAGTCAGTTCTTTAACTTCATGTGTTGCAAGCAGGAAAAATTAGCAAGCAAAATGATCTGCCTTTTTGACAAGGGCCAAATAGTAATGGATAGACGACTGGGTCAAAGCATCTCCAAGTCTTGTGGGGTGTTCCCAGTTTGCAGTGGTTAGTACTTACCAAAAGTGGTGCAAGTAAGGACAACTGGTGAACCAGTGTCAGGGTCATTGGTGCCCAAGGCTTGTTGATGCATGTAGGGAGCAAAGGCTAGCCCATCTGGTCCGATCATCCATACAAGCTACAGTACCTCAAATTGTGGAAAAACTTAATGCTGACCTTGATAGGAAGGTGTCAGAACACACAGTGCAATGATGTGTATGGGGCTGTGTAGCCACAGACTGGTCAGAGTGCCCACTTAAAAAGCCTTCAATGGGGATGTGCGCATCGGAACTGGACCATGGAAGAAGTTCTTTTTTAGAGCAGGAGGATGGCCAGTTGTGTGTATTATGTTTACCTGGGGAATAGAAGGTCTATCCACTATGGGAAGAAGGCAGGTTGACAGAGGCAGCATTATGCTCTGAGTTATGTTCTGCTGGGAAACATTGGGTCCCGTCATTCATATAGATGTTGCTTTGACACATTCCACTTACCTGTTTAACAGTTGTCTACATTTAAATTTTCATGGATTCTTAAAAGTTTTTATAAATATATTGATTGACATGTTTGCACTTGGTTTAATAATTAATCCATAAGCAATGTCCACAATGCTGTACTTAAAGCCAAATGAAACATCTAACTTACCCACAGGACCGCCATCAGGGGGTGACAACCATAACGGTTGTGATGGGCGGCCCTGGGGGGCCCGGCCACCCGGGCCCCACGTGTAGCGGCGGAACTGCCGCCGGTGCACTTGCTCCGGTGCCGGCATGCTGATGGGGCCCATCGGGTGTCCCACGCACTTAGGGCCACCCGATGGGCCCTATAACTGCAAGGGTCGGTCAGCGCTGTGGCCGTGGTATAGCGCGACTGGGCCCCTTTAAAAAAAAAAAAAGCCGCAGCGCAAGTGCTGCTGGGAGGAAGTGGTCACTTCCTCCCAGCTCACTCCGCGCGGGAGGAGCGCGTGGCCGGCAGTGAAGAGGGAGAGCCAGCCGACTCCCAGTCCCATCAGCCACAGCCACCCTCCTGCAAAGACAAGGTAAGAGACAGGAGGGTGGCTGAGAAATGAGCTCTGTGTGTCTGTCTGTATGTCTGTCTGTATGCATGTCTGTATGTCTGTCTATATGCATGTCTGTCTGTATGTCTGTCTGTATACATGTCTGTATGTCTATGTCTGTCTGTCTGTCTGTATGTATGTCTGTCTGTATGCACGTCTGTATGTCTGTCTGTATGTCTATGTCTGTCTGTATGTCTATGTCTGTCTGTATGTCTATGTATGTCTGTCTGTACGCATGTCTGTCTGTATGTCTATGTATGTCTGTCTGTCTGTATGTATGTCTGTCTGTATGCATGTCTGTATGTCTGTCTGTATGTCTATGTCTGTCTGTATGTCTGTCTGTATGCATGTCTGTATGTCTGTATGTCTATCTGTATGTCAATGTATGTCTGTCTGTATGCATGTCTGTATGTCTGTCTGTATGTCTATCTGTATGTCTATGTATGTCTGTCTGTATGCATGTCTGTATGTCTGTCTGTATGTCTATGTCTGTCTGTATGTCTATGTATGTCTGTCTCTGTCTGTATGTCTGTCTGTATGCATGTCTGTATGTCTGTCTGTATGTCTATGTATGTCTGTATGTCTATGTATGTCTGTCTGTATGCATGTCTGTATGTCTGTCTGTATGTCTATGTCTGTCTGTCTGTATGCATGTCTGTATGTCTATCTGTATGTCTATGTATGTCTATCTGTATGCATGTTTGTATGTCTGTCTGTATGTCTATGTCTGTCTGTATGTATGTCTGTCTGTATGCATGTCTGTATGTCTATGTATGACTGTCTGTATGCATGTCTGTATGTCTATGTCTGTCTGTATGTCTGTCTGTCTGTCTGTATGCATGTCTGTATGTCTGTCTGTATGTCTATGTCTGTCTGTATGTCTGTCTGTCTGTATGTCTGTCTGTATGCATGTCTGTATGTCTGTCTGTATGTCTATGTATGTCTGTCTGTATGTCTATGTATGTCTGTCTGTATGCATGTCTGTATGTCTATGTCTGTCTGTATGTCTGTCTGTCTGTATGTCTGTCTGTATGCATGTCTGTCTGTCTATGTCTGTCTGTCTGTATGTATGCCTGGCTGTATGTATATATGTATGTATGTATGCATGTATGTCATTATGTGTGTATGAATGTCAGTGTATGTATGTCTGCATGTCATTATGAATGTGTGTCTGTCTGTCTGTCTGTATGTCATAGTTACATAGTTACATAGCTGAAAAGAGACTTGCGTCCATCAAGTTCAGCTTTCCTCACATTTGTTTTTTGCTGTTGATCCAAAAGAAGGCAAAAAAACCCAGTTTGAAGTACAATTTTGCAACAAGCTAGGAAAAAAATTCCTTCTTGACCCCAGAATGGCAGTCAGATTTATCCTTGGATCAAGCAATTATTACCCTACATTGAAAGATTATATCCTTGAATATTCTGTTTTTGCAAGTATGCATCTAGTAGCTGTTTGAACATCTGTATGGACTCTGATAAAACCACTTCTTCAGGCAGAGAATTCCACATCCTGATTGTTCTTACAGTAAAAAAACCTTTCCTTTGCCTTAGACGAAATCTTCTTTCTTCCAGTCTAAACGCATGGCCTCGTGTCCTATGTAAAGTCCGGTTTGTGAATAGATTTCCACACAATGGTTTGTATTGGCCCCGAATATATTTGTATAATGTTATCATATCCCCTCTCAGGCAACGTTTTTCTAAACTAAATAGGTTTAAATTTGTTAGCTTTTCTTCATAGCTGACAAATTTAAACCTATTTAGCTTAGAAAAATTGTTAGTGTATTTAATAACTGCTTGTAAAACCTGCATTTCTCTTGTCTGGTGCCTATGCAAACCCTCCCCTTCTAACCTCGCCCAGACTTTATGTGGCTGTCCAATCACAGATGTCATTATGAGTGTGTCTGTGTCTGTATGTCCTTATGCATGTGTGTCTCTATGTATGTTAGTATGTGTCTGTCACTATGTACGCCTGTGTGTCTGTATATGTGTGTATGGCTCAGTATGAGTGTGTCAGTATGTATGCCTATATGCGTATCAGTATGTGTGTCTGTTAGTATGTATCAGTGTGTCTGTGTGTGTGTATCTGTGTCCTTTTGTATCAGTTAATGTGTTTGTATCTGTGTGTGTATTCCTATGGGCAGGATTTGGAGGCGGTCTCTGTGGGCGGTTTTGGAGGCGGGCCCCCAGGGGCCCAGACCCTGAGCTCAGTTAGGGGCCCCAAAATTTCTGGTGGCGGTCCTGCTTACCCAGTAGATTAGAAAATTAAGCAGCAATGCCTCTGTATAGTTTACACTTGTTTCTATACATGTAATTATAATTAAAATGAACTTTGGGACCGGCTTTAAAAATAACTTAATTGCTAGCGTTAGGAAACATTAAGCACGCAGAACAATGACCCTTCCACCAAACCAATGACTACCTGTCTCTTCAGCTTCTTTCAATAATTCTGTGTTCCTCTTGTTCCTTCTGTACAGAGGAAATTATCAACAACAAGAGGATATCCTGTACTAGTATTGAATAGCCTTTAGTTTAAAGTTACTTCCCTTCTTGTGGGAATTTTATATAATCTGGACCAAACTCGGCAGCACAGAAATGATTTCATAGAGTTAGACTTTGTGACTTTATAAACATGTCTGCTCCATTGTACATAAGTGAAAGGCCATTGTTAGGACAGCGAGGACTTCCTTAATAGGATGGTACTTTACAAAGGGAAACATTAGCAGTACATTGTAACCTCATATAAGATATTTTATTCCACAAAGTATGCTTACATTAACCCTCTGGTGTGTGAAACACATTATGATATAGTTTTACATTTATGTTGTTTGAAAATGTAATTTATTGTAAGGTAAATCAACTGATACCTGGAAAAGCAATCTGTTTGTCTCTTAGAGCATATGTACAAGAACTTAAATATTTATTAGACTATCATATCTGCAAGGGACACACACTGACAATCAACTGATGTTTATTAGCCTGTCCAATAAGTAACTCCCACTCGAGAAGTTTCAAACTAGTTTCAGCTCATTCGTGCTATTGTAGAGGGAAGCAAGCAAAGTTGATGATGGATAGATCTCCTATTGTTCCTGCTTGCATCTTCATACATAAAAACATCTAATCTCCACCCCTTTACAATGTTCCAAACCTTTGCATCTAGCAAAGAGACACAGAATAGTAGGAAAATATCCATCACTGGTTGTTTTAATAACTATTAATTAAAGGCATCTGATGTTTAAATCCATCAAGTAAATAACAGTAATAATACAAGATAATTGTTAACTAGGGTGGCGGCACTGAGGCTCTAACTATATGCCTCAGACCACAAGTGGATGTGGCTTCCACCTCCACCTGCTGCTGTGCCCCATTGCTTCTGCCCAAGCAGAGATATACTGGGCCTCAAGGAAGATCATCGATCCCAGCACGTCACCGAGATGCTCTGGTAGGGCTTCCCAAAAGGCCAACACCTGGAGGGGGAAACAGCCCAACCAAAAGCAACCAAGCAGACAACGTTTTTAATTTGCTACGTGCCCAGTTGGCCCTCCACTCCCAGAAGTTAAATGTCAGACTTGTCTCCTCTGCAGCCCTGGATGGGAGCAATCTGATATGCTAATGATATATGTTACCACAATAATGGCACAAGTAAAATGTATCTTGTTTAGAAGCTAACCCATTACTTAATTGCTTATTGCCAAAGTATTTGGTGATTATGCACTAGTAGATGTAGACTTGATTTGTCCACTAGTGTTTTTAAATATTTTTGTTTGCACATGTCACATGCATGTATACTGGTTTGTGCCACTGTGTCACTGGGCCAGTGGGTAATTTATCCAACAAGTACTAGTCTTCTATGCCTGAAGAAGCAGAAAGCTGCAGCAGGGACACTCCAGACTCCTAAAGAACTTGAGCTTGCTTTATGTGTGAAAAGTGTGTCCTATTTTTTTTCATTTTGTAAAAATTGCAGGTTTCAATAGAAATTTACACTTTTATAAATTACCCTGGCTACACCCCCTGGCTTTCAAGCAAACAGCTTAAAAGCTGTTGCTTCCTGGTTTGGATAACTTGGTGGAGCTAAACTCAAGAGGCAGCAATTGCTCAGACCACCACCTTGCAAAGACTTCTCATTGATCTGCATTGGAACGTCTGTGATTGGACAGCCACATAAAGTCTGGGCGAGGTTAGAAGGGGAGGGTTTGCATAGGCACCAGACAAGAGAAATGCAGGTTTTATAATTAAATGTAGGCATGTTTTCACTTGGGGTATAGATCCCAAACAGTGTTTTTTACATTTATTTTGTTTATAGGCAGTTGGGTATCTCTTTAAGAAAAACAAAAGATGATACTGTGTAACTCCAATAGTGCCAGTAGATTTATTCATCTACCTAGTTACGGACTTGCCAATGTTTCAACACTTCTGTGTCTTTGTC